AAATTTGGAATGCTCAGAATTTATTTGAGAAGACGTGAGATAAAAATAAATGATGAAACTACCCTTAAAAAAAGGGAAATTAAATGGAAGGTATATTCTGATATTTTGAAATTTAATATCGAATCGAGAGAACACCTTGCATCTGTATGTATCTTCAAAAAAAATAGAAATTAATGCTTGGAAATTTAGCATCGAAACGAGAGAGCCTGTATCTGTGTGTTTGTGATACAAATATCGAGATAATAGAGTGGATTTCGTAATCATTGCGGGGATGGAACAAGCGTAGCGTTTGAATACGGTCGTGAGATTCCATTATTCGAATCTCCGAGGGGGCGGGGAGGGTGAAAATCAGCCCGAAATGTGGGCAGGAATAAGCAGAGGGAGCTTTATTTCGCGAGCGTGATTCCCGTGGTTCTGGACCTGATACGAAGAAAGCCTGGAGGATCGATCGTTGTCGGTCTCGTCATCGAGCAAGCTTTATTCCCAGCACTCCCCTTTAAGACGTTGGCGCCTCGTTGAAATAGAGACGACGAGGGAGGGAGGAACGACGGAGGGGTGGCGAGAAAGGTCGAAAAGAGGTGAACTAACGACTCGAGTGACAGAAGAAAGGGGATGGTGATTCACATGTTACCAACACCATCCGGGAACCTCTGATACTGTCACAGTTTTTCATTAGACTTTGATTTAAGTAATTTATGATAATTATTGCTACTTAGTGTCTGGATTAGAAACTTTAAAAACTCATTAAAAATTCAACTATTATTCTTGGATGCAGAGATCATTGTATTGGAGATATTAGTGGGTTGAAATTTTAGAATTGAAAGGGGCATTATTGTAATAGTAAATTGGTAAACGATAGTAAAGTAAATCTAATCCTCGATCTAATCTTAAGCTAGTAAGATTCAAACATAAATAATTGTAATGACCATTGTGTTGGAAAATGATATAATAGGGTTGAAACTCTAGAATTGAAACATTATTCTGATAATCTAAATATAGTCCTAATCCTAATCCATCTCAAGCTAGTAAGATTCAAACATAAATAATTGTAATGATCATTGGGTTGGAAATTGATACAATTGGGTTGAAATTCTAGAATTGAAATATTATTCTGATAATCTAGACCTAATCCTAATCCTAATCCATCTCAAGTTAGTAAGATTCAAACATAAATAATTGTAATGATCATTGTGTTGGAAAATGATACAATTGGGTTGAAATTCTAGAATTGAAACATTATTCTGATAATCTAAACCTAATCGTAATCCTAATCCATCGCAAGCTAGTAAAATTCAAACATAAATAATTGTAATGATCATTGTATTCGAAATTGATACAATTGGGTTGAAATTCTAGAATTGAAATATTATTCTGATAATCTAGACCTAATCCTAATCCTAATCCATCTCAAGCTAGTAAGATTCAAACATAAATAATTGTTACAATGACCATTCTATTGGAAATTGATACAATTGGGTTGAAATTCAAGAATTGAACTAAATAATATTCTGATAATCTAAACCTAATCCTAATCCATCCCAAGCCAGTAAGATTCAAACATAAATAATTGTAATGATCATTGTATTGGAAATTGATACAATTGTGTTGAAATTCTAGAATTGAAACATTATTCTGATAATCTAATCCTAATCCTAATCTATCTCAAGCTAGTAAGATTCAAACATAAATAATTGTTGCAATGATCATTGTATTGGATATTAATATAATTGAGTTAAAATTCTAGAATTTAACTAAACATTATTCTGATAATCTAAACCTAATTCTAATCCATCTCAAGCTAGTAAGATTCAAATATAAGTAATTATTGCGAAGATCATCGTGCTGGAGAATAATAAAATTGAATTCAAATTTTAGAATCGAACAAAATATTATTCTGATAATCTAAATCTAATCCTCGATCTAATCTTAAGCTAGTAAAATTCAAACATAAATAATTGTTGCAATGATGATTGTATTGGAAATTGATATAATTGGGTTGAAATCCTAGAATTTAACTAAACATTATTCTGATAATCTAAACCTAATCCTAATCCATCTCAATCTAGTAAGATTCAAATATAAATAAATATAATGATCATTGTATTGAAAATTGATATAATTGGATAGAAATTCTAGAATTTAACTAAACAATATTCTGATGATCTAAACCTAATCCTAATCCATCTCAAGCTAGTAAAATTCAAACATAAATAATTGTTGCAATGATCATTGTATTGGAAATTGATACAATTGGGTTGAAATTCTAGAATTGAAACATTATTCTGATAATCTAAACCTAATCCTAATCCATCTCAAGCTAGTAAGATTCAAACATAAATAATTATTGCAAAGATCGTCTTACTGGAGAATAATAAAATTGAATTCAAATTTAAGAATCGAACGAAATATTATTCTCATATTAAATTAAATCCAATCCTCAACCTAATCTCGTACTAATTGTAAGATTGAATTTACCTTCAATTTTCCTATTAAACCCAAAATGAATCCCACAAGGGTAAAATTAATAAATTCTTCGTAGAAGGAACTGTGCAAGCATAGAATAATTGAAACAGTAGTTCGAATTGAGAAGTCTTAGACTCATTCGCAGTGCGTTAAGATCGAATTTATCAGCGTTGAGGGGGGTGAAAAATGGAATCGTAAAATAAAGCAACCGCCGGCATGCACGCCTATCGAATCAACAGAGCCGTCCCCTCGATCTTCTCCCATAAACCACGAGTGGAAAAGGGACGAGCCCGTAGATTCGCCAAAGAGATACTTTACGAGCAATCTCTCGTCCCGCGGCAGAAAACATGGCCCTCCGCTTTAAAATTTTAAACAGCCTTCCATGCAATCAGCATTAGGAAATTACCGCTCACTGCTCGGTGCCCCGGCGTCTAATTTGCTTATGAATAATTCCCTTTGTACCGGTGTTTGTAAATAACCAGCGTCAACAGAAAAATTTGTTACGATGGCTTTCGATTCCACCGCTCCCTCGTTCATTCCTAAAGGAAATTGTTTACCCTTTGAATCTATGTTTTATTCAGAACGAAGATGAAAAATTGCCATTCGGAATATATGAATCTTTAGTTAATTAAGAGACGTTATATCGCTCGGTGCTATCAATAAAAATATTTGCAATTACAAAAAAGGAATTATTGAAAGTTATAATCAGAGTGAACGATGAAATTGTGATTGAAAATTATTTTCTGTGTCATTAAAATATTTTTAACCATTTTCGTCGTAAAAACACGCGAATATGGCGGTTGTTAAAGTTTTCATCGTGGGAGCGGCATCCTTGTCGTCGCTGGCTCGCAAAGGATTACAAATTTCATCTCCCCCCATAATAAAAACCATAAGCTCGAGGCACTCGAGAGTTCCGGGGTATTTCAAGCAAATAACTCGATTCGCTTTCTTTACTGTTGTGTTCTTAATTTCAGAGAGTAATGCCATTATCCGCTTTCTGAGACAGACAGATTCCAAGATAACGGCGCACAAAAGGCGCAATTAGGATTCTGAGGTCCATTGTCTCCGTAAATGAATCGAACAAACCAAGTTGTTTATAAACTGGTCTCAGGGGGGGGGGGGAAGACCAATCCTTGCAAAAATTATTCCCCCAACGACCATACGAAATTTAAAATACTGTAAATATTCGTCTTTGAAAATACTTTATTTCCTTTGTCCTTGTGTGGATTTTTTTGTGGAATTTTTAGCAAATATTTCTGTCAAAAAAATATGTATATTCATATGTTTATTTTGGGGTTGCTTTCGCAATTTTTTTTGAAAAGAATCTCAGGAAATCCTGTTCCCTCCTCAAAGGTGAAAGCACCCTTAATACGTGCAAGAACTTTCCGAAGAACCTGATATATTACTGTGGAAACAAGACGCCTAACTTAACAAAAACAGCCTCTCGTTACCGTGAATCCCTTGGACCGTTCGCAAAACCCAACAAACTCAATATATAAATCAATGTTACGTTCTCCATTCGGAGGATTTATATTATCAGAAGGTCCAAGACATTTCTGCAGAAACGAATAATACATCGTTCATCGATAAATAAATGTTACATTCCTTGTCAGAAAATTCAATTCACATTCCCTACTCAGGCAACAACAATAAATTTCATGTTTCGAAATGACGTAAAACGAGAAACAATTACGTTATTATTATATTTTGAAAGCAAGAATAAATTAAGAGAAATGTATATCAAGTTTGACCTAAATCACCAAGGTCCACGTTCGAGACATTTCTTTAGAGATAAATAACATATATTCAATCGATAAATAAATATATTCTTCGTCAGAAAATTTCACGTTTCAAAGTGACTCAAAACGAGAAATAATTACATATACCACGAAAGCAAGACTACCTTAACAGAAACCAAAGATCCATCAAGATGCACAAAATATCTAACCTCCAAAAAAGACTCAAGAAACGGTACAAATAACATTCTCCACAATTATCCTAAAACGAGCCTTATAACAAGTCACCTGACCTAACAGAAACCTCGAATTCCGAGCTTGAAGCTCCATAAAACCTGCAACGAACTTAAAGAACCGCTCGTAATTATCCCGCTAGAAGCGAGCACGAGCGCGAGTTGCGTCTCCGCAAAAACAAAACCTGCGAGGTAAGTTTCTCGTACCGAGAAGCGGCAAAGGAAACGTCAGCGAAATCCAGATCGCCCGGTTGCAGGCGGCAGAAACAGAGGGATAATCGTGACAGCGTAGGGAGGATTTTTTCGGCGAGAAAAAGCACGGTGCGGTGGTGGTGGACCGAAAAACCGGGTCCCCTTTCCGAGCCCGGCGGCGTGCAACACCGTTGTGTCGTCGCAGCGACGTCCGTCTCCTACGCATACGCACTCGAGGCACCGATGCGCGCGCAGCCTAGTCTATCTCGTCCCCCTCTCCAGCGCGGCGCCGCCAGCCTCAAACATCCCCTTCGCCAGTCACCGTCTTCCGACAAAAACGGCGACTCCGTTCGAGGTCAGTTCAGTCCGCGCACGAGTCGAGACTGCCCGAGCCCCCGTCTGACGTTTCGTTGGCCGCGATATCACGGAACGGGTTGCAATCCGATGACCTTCTGGTCGCGCGATGAGAATCAACCGGTAACCGGGAGCCGCGAGAACGCAACCGACGTAAGGAGGACGCGACGCCGCGTCGGTGACACGGAGGATCTGTAACGTGCCCAGTTAGCCGGACACACGGAGCGGAAACTAGTGTCCATTGTGCGAGAGCCAGCAGCGGTGCGCTCGCGACCAGCGCCATCGTCGCCGCCAGAGCATCGACGCGGAGGATGCGGAAGCGGAATAGTGTCGTTGAGATGCCGCGAAGGAGCCCCGAGACATGAAGAGACCGCGACCGAGGGTAAGTAGACGCTGGGTCACGTCTGCCCCGGCGTCGAGTAACGAAAAAAAGGGGGCATCTTCGTCGAGGATAACGGAGGACAAAATACTATTTTTAGTATCTCCATCGCCACCGGAGAAGGGAACAGGCGATCGTTGGCGGTATCGGTCGACGCACCTGTTCAGAGCTCCGAGTCTCCTTCTTTCCTCGCATAAAGTATTTTCGTTCATTGATTTATCGGATTCACCAGTTTCTCGCTTTCTCGCTCAATTGCCACCCCCCCCCTGTGCCCGCCCTCCTCCCGCGAGGCTTGTTGGTTCGATTTCGTTGCCGCCTTTCCACCTCCTCGTTCTTTTGTTTCTCGTCGCTTTTTCCTCCTTTCGTTTTTCTCTTTCGGTTTCCCCGTCTCTCTCCACCTTCCGGGGGGGTTTTCCGACCGTAAAAGGAATCACGGTCGGAACGTCGTTGGGCGTACCGGGGACTGCTTATCGAGGTTTCGTGCACACGGACTATCGATTCCCGCGACAAGGGGTCGACTGCTACTGCCGCCGCTCAGGCTTACTTGTAAACCAGCACGCGCCTCTCGCCGCTTACGATACGCCTCGGTACCGTGGTCTCTCTCTCCCGTGACAGCACGCGCCCTGACAGCGTACACGCGCCCTGTCATGGTGGTCAACAACCTTCTGCGAACGACGTCGACGTTGCCCCGGTCGTCGTGGCCCGAGGAGCTACGCTCGAAAGAGGGTGGTTTCTCGCGGGGGTGGCCGCCGCGAGCAACACGGTTTCGACGAGCACGTACGTGATTTCGGTAATCGATGTTTAAGAAGCCTTTCGACGGGATGTGTACGCTCCTCAGACGGTGGAGGAGATTCCTGTCGATCGTGGGTGGTCCGTAGTTTCGAAAGTTCGTGGAATTCGATAAGATCCGAGTAATTTTGCCTGGAGATTTACCGCCATTGATGGTCTCGAGCAACGTTCGCCCGATTATTGCGACTGGGACCGTTTAATTCAAAGAGAAATAGCCGTACAGCGGTACAATTACCTTGCTTCCAGCGCTACTATGATTCCCTTCCTTCCTGCACGCTACTACGGCACCCTTCCTTCCTGCGTACTACTACGATTTCCTCCCTCTCGATATACGCGGCTACTCTGACCTACCAGCCGTTTCAGATTGCCGCCAAAGACCCGGTCCCGATGGAATTTGCGTGGTTTCGTTTATAATGTTTCCGTTGTTATCTTGGAAAATAGCAGCAACGATCTTACATCGCGAATAACGATTTACGTGGGCTATAGATATTCGTAGGGTTAATAGCAGCGACTGGATTGGGGATCTTTATGCAAATTTTTGGAATTAATGAAATGGAAGCTTCGTAGAGGGTTCTCTGAACTCTTAAATATAATAATTAGTACCTTTGAGTATTTCTTATATCTTTTCTTGTTAAATGTATTTTGTAGTTTTTTGAAAATTTCCCATGAGTGCATAAATATCTAGAATCTACTTCTAATATGAGACTGTGGAATTTTATGCAAATTTGTGTTAATAGAAATGGAAGCTTTGTAGAGGGTTCACACAAATCTAAAATATGATAATTAGTATCTTTGAGTATTTCTTACATTTTTGCTAATTAAATGTATTCTGTAGTTTTTTGAAAATTTCCCATGAGTGCATAAATATCCACAATCTACTTAGAAGACTGTGGAATTTTATGCAAATTTGTGTTAATAGAAATGGAAACCTTGTAGAGGGTTTTCTCAACCCTTAAATAAAATAATTAGTATCTTTGAGTATTTCTTATATTTTTGCTTGTTAAATGTATTTTGTAATTTTTTGAAAATTTCCCATGAGTGCATAAATATCCACAATCTACTTAGAAGACTGTGGAATTTTATGCAAATTTGTGTTAATAGAAATGGAAGCTTTGTAGAGGTTCCTCTCAACCATTAAATATAATAATTCGTATCCTACTTTAAGTATTTCTAATATTTTTTGAATATTAAGTGCATTCTGTAGCTTTTAAAATGTTCCATAAATGAATAAGTATTCAGTATAATAATAACACAAAAATTAAATTCTAATTTTAAATTTTACTAATAATTGTGTATCGTGGTATTTTTTTAATTGAAAATTCTGTGTCTTTTCTAGTAGAAAGCAAACAGAGAAATGCAGTATTAACACGTTAGGTCGAGTCTAATCACTTGGTCCCTTAAGTATAATTTCATCAAATACTCTAATTTTTAATAAATAATACAATTTGAAAAGTAACAATGGCGTTAGAATTAAAATGGTTCTCAACATCTAGAAAGTAGAGCTGTTGGTCATCGAAGAAAGCACTTTTGTATTTATTTCATAGAAATCTTTCGAATTTTGAATTTAAAAAAGATGATTCTTCGATTAATAATAAACCAAAGATGTGTAATAACATTCTAGAACATGAAAAGTGTCTCTAGATTTCGAGAAAACATGATTTTTAAACTTCACAGTGCACCATTAGTGAACGCGTCTGACCAATGCTTGATATTTCTACTTAATTTTGTGTTTATAAGCATTAATAACGATATAATATCAATTTTTTTTATTGAGTTTACCTACAGAGCTAATAATAAGGTCTACTGTAACCATTCGATACCCCAAAATCATCTGTTATCAACAAATAATAGTGTCTCTAAGTAGAAATGATCGATATTGGTCAGACATATAGGAAATATTCAAAATCAATTTCCTCGAAAACTAAAGCTCCTATCGAAAAATACTACTCCACACTTTCGATTTATTTTCGACCAAGGAATCGATCTACGTACTCAAAAAAATTTCTTTTAAACAATGTCCATGCTACAATTATAAATAATATAGAAAAAAATTTACTGCTCGAAAATTATCTCGAACATGATCTAGTGATTCGATATCTTAGACAGTTTCTCTGTAACAGAAATATGCCATTACGCGGAGCCATAATCGGAGCGAGCAAACACTGCACTCCCCTAAATCTGATAGAATCTACCACCCACGCAGGAATAGAGTAAAACGTCAATCATGGGGAATAATAGGGGGACGAAACATTTCGGATAAACGAATGTTCATATAATCCATCAACGTTGACAGAAGTGAAAGGATAGAACTTTGTAATATATATTTAATATTCACTGATACCTATTGCACGTATTAAAAAAAAAAGAAATATTTTTCCCTCTGAATCTAAAATTGCAGTTCGATCTTGAATTTAAATTTAAATTTAATATAGTCGACCACTAGTGTCAAGAGTGGACGAAAGGAGTCCATTTCCTTTTCAATCGCAAACTGTTATTTGATATTTTAAGATCCCAAGGGGTAACCTTCGCTCTTCCGATAATAGGCTTTCGTAAAATCAACATTTCAGTTAATTGACGCTTTGTTAATAGACGTAATATTACAGTCGTGCAAAACAAAATTGATAAGCTTAAAAAGCACCACGTAGAACCGTTAAAAAAATTAACATTTCGTGAAATGTCACTAGCAAATCACTCCAAATCACTTTCAGCATTTTTACTTTCCTTGGCCTTAAATTCTCTCTGCCATCCATTGTGTAACTCGTAATTGATCAACTCCATCGACGATCCGAGCAAGTAAAAGTTATCGTAATATCGTGTAACCCGGTTTCACCTAAAGCAACAACGAAAGTTTGAATTGTTCCTGCATGAAAATACGCTCCAAAACCGACGAGTTATTTATTTACGTATTTAACCACGGAACAAAGTTTATACTGCTCATTGTGCAAACATCTAATATTAACGTTAAGCAAATCCCAGTAAAATAATACGAGAATGAAGATATGTATCGCTGTAACGAATCTCGAAGCGTGAAAATCCAACACACGAGGGCAACCTTGTTCCAGAACAGGCGACATAAGCTTGAAATTTTAATCATTATCCACACAAGAGATATCTAACAATGATTTCTTCAATCACGAATCAATTTGAACAATTCGTTTCGTCTGTAACTTCCACGAAATATTGAAAAATTAATTTCGAATGACTTAAGAGTTAGGTACAGTTGCCTTAAGCAATTCCAAGTTTTATTGTCCACCGGGTGGAGAATTTTTAAGGATTTTTAAGCAGTCACTCTCGTCACTAACGGTCCTCGAGGAAAGTGGACCTTAATTTTCACTTACTTGCGAACGAGTGCGTAAAGTTAATATAATTGCTGCGCTCAATGAATTCCCTCGCTTTGATCTTGGCACCGGTCCGCGCTGGCATAGAAACACGAACGAGTAAATACTTATTTTTATACACTCGATTGCTTTCCTTCGACAGCTTCAAAGAGCTCTCGATTCCCAAGCAGCGACGGTTTAATCGTTACTGAAATCTATTTAACGACTAGAGAAGAGACAGGGCTCGAACAAAATATTTTCACGTAATTTCGCGCGTTCGAGACCCATTAACGGAACGCGTAAAATTCAGTAACGCGTTATAAGGTACGATCGGGGTTCATCAAGTTAATCGAAACGCAAGAATGATCTACGTTAATTAAAATAATATCCTGCTTTGCATTCGCGTCGAATATCAATTAAATGTTCACAAATTAATCTCCATGGAACGTCCATGCTCCGTTTATTTTTATCTTTATTTTTTTTATTATATGGAGGGCGTACAATTGGGGTCGAAACGTCGAAAAAATTTATTTTACACCGCCATTAGTTGCTGCTTTTAGTACCCAATTCTTCCTCTCGTAAAGCCCTCCAATATTACTCTCATAAAGTGGCCAAACGGAACACGGAAGAGATTTTCTTTTTTGGTTTATCTTTTCCCAAAACGTGGACGATAACAGCCCTCCTGGAGGGACGTTAGGGCGACAAACTTTAGGGGAGGCGTTTGGAAGTATCGAGGAGCATTAAACATTTTAGGTCGAGTGCAATCACTGGTCCTATCAAGTATAATTTTATCAAATACACTAATATTTGATGAACGATTAAAATACTTATAAGTAGACTGCGGATGTTTATGCATTTATGGGAAATTTTAATCTTCAAAAAGCTACAAAATTTAGT